ACGAGGCACCGACAGGCCGCGGAGCAGCTAGTGGGACGCCCGGGCGCAGTTGCGCTGGGGGCCGTGCCGCGGCTGGTAGCCAACTGGCCCGGCCCGGCCCGGCCCGGCCCAGGAACGAGAGGGACGTGCGCTGTGAGACGCGGAGGAGCGAGGCGCCTCGGCCTGAGGTAAGGAGGGCCGGTGGCCGAGTTGAAGGGCCGTGTAGCGGAAGGGTAAGGGCTGGGTCGGGGCAGACGGGCCAGGGGACCTAGCCCTCGAGGGGGCACCTTTCCGCGGGAGAGGGGCACCCCCCGGCAGCGCGCGCCCCAAACTTGTTACCCTAGCCTGGAAATCCCCACATTCCTTCCTCTCCCTGGTTCCCACACCTCCGAATTTGATCTCCACAACGTTGTCACCTAGATTTCTCCACCCTAAGTACAAACCTAACCTCCCACACCACACACACACACGCACACGCACACACGCACAAACCTTTCTTAAGCCCCCGCCCCCAAACGCGATTCTGAGTCGTACCCCTTTTTAGTTACCAAATCCCCTCTTTTCCCCGGCCCCCTTTCCATCTCCCTTTAAATTCCACTAGCCTCGCACTTGGCCCTTCGTTTTCTGCCCGGAGGTTAATTTTCCTTCCCTAAAGCCATCTTTTCGTCTTTAAATTGTAACATTTCAGCATTGCTGAAAGTTCACACCATACTTTAAAAAGCCCTGACTGACGTCCCTTTTCTTCTGGTCGTTACACGTTCCGGGCCGCATGATCCCACAAACCACTGTATCCTAAAGGCGCCGAGTTGTCTTGAAAATTTCACTCCCTCCCCCAAGCTTAGAGGTTATTCCAAGCAACAAGGTTCTGTTTTTCAGTTTATCTTCCAAACTGAAAAAATACCACAGCTTAAAAATGAGGCTTGCCACTTTTATTCTTTCCCTTTTTTCTTCAGAAGGAAACCCATTTCGGTTTGATTTGTGTAGTATTGGGCGGTTAAGTGGTTATACTGCGTTAAAATAATTAATTGTTAGAATGCTAGGATGAATATTCTGAAAGATTAGAGTGTTTGGTTTAGTCAGTGCTGTAAACAAACTCTTTAGACTGTGTGACTGCCAGCTTCAAGTTGGAACAACTCTTAATTTGAAATTACTGACTCAGATCATCATATGAGCCGTTCGCCATTATCCTAATTTCTTAAATTCATATTAATTCCTATTTGGAAGTATTTTTGAACTATAAACTGGAATTCTGCATTTATAGGACCACTTGGTATTAAGTTAAATTGTGCTTTACAACTGTTTTCTCTTTGAGGGTAATTTTGAACACTTGTTTTTAATCACAGGTGGAAGGAAAAAGTTACAGGATGGAGAAAGTGTCAGAAAAGGAGGATAAGTTTTGTAGCAGAATTTTTCCCTCATCCCAATTCTGTATTATTGACAATACTATACATGTTTAATTTTCTCAGAGGTAATTTACCGAGTATTGTAAATACACAGCTTACTTAGTATGTTTTCTTATGTAATAAAAAAAGTGTATAGTCACTTATGATCGCTCTGTTTTCAATTTATTTAGTATTTTTCCAAGGGAATTTGCACTTCAATAAAACGTTAGGGTGGATGTCGATTATCATATACCTGTACAGTACCCATTTTATAGAGAAGGAAACAAGCTCAGAGTCCTTGTGAAACCTAAATCTATGTAAATCCAAATCCTGTACTCCCAGTCCATCGTTTCATCATGCTGATACATTTTTCATAGAGGATCCACTGCTACAATTTGGTTTAGAAATTTAAGGACTCCTCATAACTCCTCTGCAGGGAGAATTTTTTCCCCCAGAAGCTAGCAATTTATTTTAATGGGAGTCAGAATTCCCTGGCGCTAATACATTTGCAGCTTGGCTCCTAGAGAAGCATGGAATGTTCACACAGCCTTCTCCATTTCTTTGATTGCAAAGGCATTTTGATTAGAGTTGAAGTTCCTACTGAGCTTTATTATTTTACATAACGAATACTAAGCAGTTAGTACTTGCTGTAGAAACTCAGAAAGATGCATGAGATGTTGTCAGGACCTTCAAAGAGTTTTCAGAAATTGGGTTGACTATTGTTTTGTGAAAAATTATAAGGATGAAGGCAGTTTTAATTAAATGCAGAGTGATACAGAAGATGCTATAGATATTTAAATTAGGGAGTAGTCATTTAAGGGTTGGAATGATCAAAGAATTTACTAGAGGTCAGCCTTGAAACCAGGTAGGATTTGGAAAAAGGGAAAAATGAAGGGAGCCCATTCCAAATAGAGGTCTATGCAGAAAGGGTCTGAAATAACCATGGTATATATGAATTCTAATAACCAATACACGTGTAATGCTTATCTTGTGTCATTGTTTTGAGCACTTTGCTTCTAATAATTCATTTAATCCTTATAGCCCTATGAAGTAGATCTTATTATCCTCCTTTTATAAAAAGGGAAACCGAGGCACAGAGAGGTTAATTCAACTTGCCCGGTGCCACACGGCTAATAAGTGGTAGATCCAAAATTTATACCTAGATAGCCTGGCTTCAGAATCTGAGCTCCTATCCGTGACACGTACACTGCCTCTTCAGATAGTATACTTGAGTGACAGTAGCTAGAATAACACGGCCACACCAGAATATCTTTTAAAACCCATTCTTAATTGTCCACTGTGTGCCTCTGAGCACGTTAGATTCTCAGGATACCAAGACATATAAATGAATAATTACAATACAGTGTTATGAATTCTGTTAGGAAACTATATACAAGTGCATTGGGAGCAAAGATGTTTGTGGGAGTAGGGGAAAATTCCACAGAAGAGATGATGTTTCATCTGAGTTATAGACAGTGCAAAGCAGAGTTTGGGAAAGGACTTTCTAAAAGCAAAGAATAGCATACATAGAAGCACAAATTCTGAAATAAAATTTGTTAAAGCCTAGTCGTCGTCTTGGCTTGAGCTTAAAGTCTGTAAGGGGTGGCTAGTAGGGTATGGTAAAAGGTAAGATCCAGTTGTGTATGGCATGATGAAGTCAAGTAAAATGAAGAGCTTAAATACTTTCTTTGCGTTTGGGAAACTACAAAAATAACTTCAGCATCATCAGAGTAGAAACCAGATTGCTTGCTGTTCTTTCTAGAGCTTGAAGGCCAAATCTGAGTAGAGGTTTGTTTTTTTATATATTTAAATATTGTAGAAGATAGATTGGAAAGCACAGTGAAACTGAATTTTTAGATTCTTAAATAGCTTAAATATTTGGCATTATTAGTCACCCTTTAAAACGCTTTTGAGGAAAAGTGACAAATTTAAAGTGTTTTAGATTCATCCACGAGTAATGTTCAGGATGATTTGGAGGGAAGAAAGAGACCAGAAGCAGGAAGGCAGTTATAAGTATTGAGGTGATCAGTGCCTAAATTAGGTTGGTCTTGGCAGAGGGTGAAAAAGAAATGACAAATGGGAAAGATTATGAAAGAAGACAGAATAAGATTTGTAACTGAGAAAAGCTAGAGTGTAATGGATATGTAAGGGATAATGATGGACCCCATTGACTTAGGCAATTAAGAAAGGTAAATGTTTTTAGATAGGGAAAAAAGATAAGTAATGTGATTTTTTTTTAAAAGGTGTGCATTTATGTCTGTATGTGTGTATGAGAATGTGTGTATGTGTATATTGTTTTTAGACCTTTTAAACTTATTTGCATCAGAGGCAGAATATCGAAGATAATAACATTTCACTGAAGTTGTAGGAAAGGTCTCAATCAGAATGTTTGAAATTATTTTGTTTGAAGGTAGTGATTGAAGTCATACATTTTCAAAGAAGTTGGTAATTTGAAAGAATAGTAAATGGCAGATACTTTTGGCTACACTCATAGCCAGGAGATAAAACCTACAGAGAATTCAGTGATGAGACAGTAGAGGAGATAAAGAAAAGAAATTCAGCCACATGGTATGGTTACATAGAAACCAAGAGATAGGAGAAATTGAAGAAGCAGAGATGATCAGCAATGAGAAAAGCTTCAGAAGCACTTGCGATGTTGTCACAACGGCTATAGTCTCTTTTTAAATTTTATATCTAGTATATCTTAGGGAGATTTCATGAGAAATGTTATAAGAGGGCTCTCATCTCTTGAAATTTGGCCATAGTATAGATTATTGTTTTAAAGCTGAATGTATACATACCCACAGCAGGAGTTTCATTCCTTTCAGCACAATACGTCTTTTACGCTGTTAAAATTTGAATTTTCTGCCTCCAAATTTTCATTTGCTCCTGAAGTTAATCAGTTTCATTGTTTTCATTACTTCTGAATAGTGCATTTCATATTGGTCTTCTGTTTTTGTTTGGATATTCTGTTTTATGTGTCTCTCTAACGCCAAGTAGTTTCAGGTAGCACAGCTCTGGTTTTAGACTGGCATGTGCTGGGATTCTGTCATTAGGTAGTCTACAGCTATAGAGTAAAAGATGTTGTATAGCTTGTGTTTATGCCATCTTCTCTGTCCAGATAACCTTTACTCATTTCATGATGGGCTGTCCTGGGCCCTGTCTGAACTGGGTTTTCTCTATGCTCCTGTTGCACTCTGTGTATTCTACCCCTCTAAACTTTGAACTACTTACGGGCAAGAACTGTTTATTTGGCTTCAACTGTATTTGTAATGTTTTATTTCTTAGACTGTGGTGAGAACACGGATGGTCACCAAAGTACTTTTTAAACTTTTTTGTATGTCTTAAACAGTCAGTGATAATTTGTAAAAGGCCTTTTCTAACTCTAAGTTCATAAACCTACTCTGTATTTCCTTCCAGCAGTCCTGCAATTTTGTTTTTCATTAATCAATCTGGAGTCTATGTGTCAGTGATGAAGTAGGGCTGTTTATTTTTTGTTTGTGGAGCCAGTTGTCCAAATACTACTTATTGAGTAGTCCTTTATTTCCTCAGTAATATGAGATGTCTTTTTTTCCCATAATATATTAAATTCTTATATATACGTGGGTCTGTTTCTGGACTTTTTGTTTTGTACTTGATTTAATTGTCTATTGCTGTTAGTGCCGAGCTTTACTTGCTGTAACTTTATAGTATGTCTTAATAGGTGGTACACCAAGTATTGTGTTTACTCTTTCTGAAAGTTGGCTTTTGGCTATTCTCTAGTATTTTATGTGAAGTTTTAAGTTGGTTTGTAAAGTTTCATAGTA